TTCATAAAAAATTTGTTTACTAAGAGGATTGAATAAACGTAAGTAGTTAGCTGAGCTGAACATTAGGATTAGGCTACTCAACAATCCCATTAAGTACTACAAGAAACAAAATAGCCTATCACACTTTAGTCAGATTGGAAAGGCTTCATGGACTAGGTAGAATTTTTAATTAGCAACTGTTCATTGTGTGAGCAGAGAAAGGCATTCTAGTATTATGGCACTATTTTGGAAAAGACTCAAGAAGGAAATAGACAAATGAATCCAGACAACTGTGTGGAGAAATGACACAGTTTAAGAGAGTCTGAATGTTAGATGGTAATAATAACATTAGCAGAGTAATAGAATTAAGATGAGTTAGGAGGGAACAAAATTGGAATAGTCAGGAAAACCCTCAGATGTGGACCTGGGTGGCACAGTCAGTTAACCATTAGACTCTTGGTTTTGGCTTAGGTAGTGATTCCAGGCTTGTGAGATTGAGTCCTGCTTAGGGCTCTGCTCTCAGTGCAGAGTCTACTTAAGATTCTTTCTCCCTCTCCCACTGCCCCTCCCCATCAAGTTCTCTCCCTCCCTCTCTCTCTTTCTCTTTCTAAATTAAATAAATAAATCTTAAAAAAAAAAAAAATCCCCAGATGTGATTTGAATTTTCTATCCCTGGCCCTGACATTTTTTTTCTTTTTTATGGCAAGGGCCCTCAATTATGAATGGGAGTCCTGTTCATTTCATTAAGGATCTTATAAATTTAGCTACAAAATAATTTATTACCTTAGTTATGTTGGAAAAACATACTATATTAAAATGTAACTATACAGCTATTGATAATGTCACTTAGTTTATTTAGCAGTCCAATTAAGCATTTCCATATTTTTAAACAAAAATTATTTTTCAGTTTTTAAAAGATATCTACATGTATATCTTTATATGTATCATCTATGGCAATTTAAATGATACTGTTCCAATTGGAAATAGTTACTCACCAATACTTGCCTCTGTAATTTTCTTTATGTACATGAAACAAGCATATATCAGTAAATATATTTATTGTTTAGGGATGCCTGGGTGGCAGTCACTTAAACATCTGCCTTAGGCTCAGGTCATGATCCCAGGGTCCTGGGTTCGAGCCCCATGTTGGGCTCTGTTCAGCAGAAAGTCAGCTTCTCTCTCCCTCTCTGCCTGCCCCTCCCCTGTTTGTGCTCTCCCTCTCTTTCTCTCTGTCAAATAAATAAATAGATGAGATCTTTAAAAATATATTTATTATTTGTTTATTCCCAGAAAGTGGGAATATATAGTAATTCACTTCATAAATTATAATTATTATTCTTTTTTAAAAACATTATTTATTTGTCAGACAGAGAGAGCACAAGTAGGGGTAGCAGCGGGCAGAGGAAGAAGTAGGCTCCCCTGCTGAACAGGGAGCCTGATGCAGGACTCAGTGCCAGGACCCTGGGGTTATGACCTGAGCCAAAGTCAGATGCTTAACTGACTGAGCCACCCAGGTGTCCTGATAATCATTATTCTTAAGCAAGGGAAATTATGACCCTGTGACTTTTCTTTTCTGACCTTTCATATATGTGCTAAGGAAAATTATTAATATCCACTCTTTCTTTGGTATTAACACAGTTACTCCTTATAATAAAACTGAGTTATAAACCATTATTATTCCCATTCTCAGGTATAATAGGTCTTGACAGGGCCTGGATCTGAACCTAGGTAAACCGGAACAAAAACCTCTTCTTTGCCATTTTGTTATACAAATAATAAGGGAAAACCCTTATTTATATCCCAAATATGGCAGAAGAAAGTTACAAGTGAATTTACAATTGGTCTATGATTTGGTCAGAACAAGTAATAATAAATCCTACCACTTTCTTGGTATAGTAGAAATAATGAGCGTGTAGAGACTAGTCATGGGAAACCCTTTTGTTGTCTATTATCTCAAACCCCAAGGGGCAAAGGCCAACTCTGGGTCTGGAATTTTTCAACTGGAGATCTCTTTTTTCAAACAGAATTCTAAAAGCAGTAGGTAACACTGACTATGGATTGATCATTACTTTAGGTAGAGAATAAAAGAAATGAAAAATTTATAATCTCTTTTGCTGGGTATTCTAAAATTTCTGTCTCCTTGCAATAAAATAAAGTGAGGACAAGATCAAAGAGAGAAAGCATCTTCAAGTTTGGCAGATCCTAAAACATTAACAGAAAAAGTATTCCAGAATTTTACTTCCAAACCCTGGAACACTGTAAGACCCAACAGAAAAAGCAATGGTCAGATGCCTCTCCCAGGTGTGCCATCAACTTGCTTTGTGACCTTTGGGCAATTTAACCAGCACTAAAAAATACAGCAGAGCTTTTGGTCTAGGTCATTCTTCCTTTCTCCTACACATTTGACAAAAATTCATAGTGACAAAGCATAGAGATAGCAATTTTTGACATAATCCCCAAAGACCGCGTCATTTGGTTAATTTAATTTGACCTTCATCACAGACAAAAATTGTTGCTACTAGTCAGGATAATATTGAGACTTAAAAAGGGGGACCAAGGCCATACAATGAATATGCACTCAGCTAAATATAAGGGCATTGGGTTAGACAGAAGTCAAAACCTAAGTGAAAGCTATTTTTTTTTTAAACATGTCTAGGTGAGAAAGAGATGTTTAAATTGGATGCAGGCAGCCATGAAGAGCCAAGAGAATGACAGGCAGAGGAATGTTAGGGCAGCTGTGCTTGTAAAGGATTATGGCACTTTCTTTTGAGAATTTCAAAGGACTTCAATAAAATATGATACTGGAGCATGTCTCCCTATGTTTTTAAATTTAGGTGGTACAGAGAAAGGTTCTTTTTGGCTTTAAAAGTAACTAATATGTAAGATTTCCTCAACAAGAGAGTCTCAGATCTTCAACCTATAGTTTAATGGAATATTTGCAATACAAATACTCCTTAAAGTGAAACCTCATGCTGTGGAATCACATTAAGACATATATGAGTATTGCTGGATTTTTTTAAGAAAAGCTGATCTGTTGAAGGTGGGAGGATCATGGCAGCAGAATATTAGAGGCCCTAGAAGTGAAGGAAGACACTTCTGACCACTTGCTGAGTGCCACTACATGGGGTGGCATAATTATACCTTTTAGCTGGTAAAATGGAGGCTTATAAAGGATGAATTGACAATAGTCAAACAACAGGTAAATGGTAGAGTTGGAGTCCCCATTATGTCTGACACTAGTGTCCATGTTCTTAACCACACCACAAGTTTTGGGGTTTAAGCTTTACTTACTTGGTGACATTTCTTCCTTCCATTTCCATTCCATACCCCAAATATATCCCTTAATTTCTTCGAAGTGAGGAACATCACTGCATAATACAATCATACTGCTCACAAATAAAGCTCACATAAAGGGAAGGCAGCATTGAGGAATGCTACAAGAAAGTGGAGTCACAATCTTTACAACAAACAAGTCCAGCCAGACCACTGACATGCCACCATCAAATAGAATGCAGCATTTTTATTGTAAAAGTCCACATATTAGGTAATTCCCTTTGTGAAAAGGTTTTTCAAATACATAGATGGGGAGCAGCTAATAATTCAGAATTAGATTACATATAATATATATGCATATTGCCAGTACTATGCACACATTGAAAAGCTAGCTTTTTTTGAGTGTCCCCATTACAGAATACATTTCAAGTTGACAATAATGTGTTTCTTACCATTGAAAATTTGCCAACAACTCTCCCAGAGTCAACATTAAATGTTAACAATTCAAAACATGAAAAAATTAATCCTATTTACATGTGTATGAGGTTATATACTAGAGCGCTGATATATTAAAGGTTTGTAAAATTGGCAGCTAAATGTGTTTCAAGATTTATCCAGATGACTCAATGAGGACCTTACATAGTTTTATAACAAAGCCACTCTTTCTTTTCTACTCTTTTTAGATTACCTATCTAGTTAATACTGGCTATGATTGAGGTCTAACTTAGAGAAATGATTGCCATAAGAAAGAACCGACGAAGGGTGCTGTTTTAGAAAAAATAAGGATTCAGGATGAGTCCATGGAGGTGATGCTCAGCTCATTGTGTTTGAAGTCTGGGACAACCCCTTCATGTGATTATCACATAGTTGAATGAGGCCACAGTCATAGGATCAACCTTCATGTAAGTCGTTTATTCTTTGAATTTTTAAAAAGTAATCTTCAGTACTTTTTTAACAGAGCATAGAATACAACATTCTGAACACCAGTCAGGTATGAATCCTGCTCTTGTCTATCATGTCTTCAAGTGGAATTGTGGATGGGCCAAAGCTAACTCATCTCCAAACCTGGAAAAAAAATATATAAATCCTAAATAATGCCTTAGTAGGCCCATTTCTGTGCATAAACATAGGACTTCAGTATTGTTTTAAAAGAAGTATGGACTTTGGTTATTTTTGTTAATTATCATAAATTTATTTTAGGCCAAGATCTTTGGATCCTTCTGTTAATTTTCACAAGACCAGATAACATTTGACAATGAATCACTGGTTCTCGCTGGCTCAAAGAGAGTCACAGAAGCATATGAAGCCAGTTCGCTTCAAACTGTATCTATTGAGCACCAACTACGTGCCAGGCACTATATAAGGTGCTGAGGATCCAAAGAGGAAATGATAAGGATTCTGCCCACAAGGCTCTCACAATCACTAGAAGCAGATCTTGAGATGGAGAATAAATTCTGTTATAATCTATCAGTCATCCTAAAAGGAAGAAAAAATAGCTGCAAGCACATACAATTACTTTATACTCTATGAAATTGGGCATATTTAGAGGTGGCAAATGTCAATTATTCAGTCTATATTTTACTTAAAGTGTTTTAATATGTCCTAATGGAAAAATAAGCTCTTTGAATCTTCATGCGTGAGGGAGAAGGTAGAGAAAATTCCTCCCTCCAATTCCAAACCCAAACCCTTATAATTACATTCATGATTCTTTTATAGCCCAAAGACACAGAATAAAAGACAATGCTTTATGATGTTAACTTCATTCCATTTATTTTGGCTCTAAAGAGATGCATGCATTAAACTTGAAGCAGTCTACGTTACTGAAATATTTACATCATTGTACATGTGAGGTGGAGGAAATTTTCTTCCTATCTTGAGATAGAGGTGTAATAGATTTCTAGTCTAGACTCTTATATTTAAAGTGACTTGTGATTTTTCTCAAATGAGGGAGATATCCTACTGGGACCAAATTTACTACAACCTGCCCCCAAATGAACATAGGGTACGGTTTTGGACCTTTTGCGTCTAATTGTATCTTGAATTGATTAAGGACACCACCACTGTAAGTAGTCATGGCTTCCATGATTTCAATCATTGTAGCTGAAAAATATCTTGTTGGGTTTCAGTGTTCTTGCTCTAATTTCACTTTGCCTTGCAGGTTTGAAACACAGCAAACATTAAAGTTCAAATTACACTTACCACAGGAGAGTTGGGCGCAAACAATATGACATCAATACAGTTTAGCAGGTTAGAACATAGAAACAAATTCAAATTATCATAAACCACACAGGGGATTCTTCAAGTGGACTTAGAAAGGACATCTTCTCTCCATGAGATTTAGTGAATAAGACCCACATCAATAAAACCCATACCTCTTTCACAGGTAAAGGTAGGAAACCCAATAAACCAGATTGAATAAGCAGAAGGCAGTGGGGAAGAAGATCCGTGCATATGAGTCCATTTTGGCGATACGAATATGTATCCTCCCATGTCTCCAAGCTCCTGTTCGGCAATCTTCAAAACAGCAGAAGAAACTGGCACAGTCCTTGCCATCCAGACACTCATACCCATATTCTTCATCTCTCTCTTGAAGGTGAGTGGCATTGTTCATTTGAATGGTTGCTGATCTTGGGCGGATATCAATGGTTGGTGCCTGAGACAAGGGTCGGGAATAAGAGTTAGTTATACTTGATAAATCCTAGATTAGGTCTCCACAATGTCACCAAGGTGAATGATGAATCTGAAAATGAGTACTCAGGAATTGCTATGAAATTGTGATCTACAATGGTAAAATTGAACTTAGAAGGATAGCACATTTGCAGATTTCAAATTTTGAGCTTAAGCGGTGCAGCTGAAAATAATACCATAAGCTAATAGCTATAGCAAGAAGATTGAACACCAAAAGAACTCAAAGTTTAAAGATTTAAATCAAACAACTACATGGAATCTTAGTCTAGTAAATATTAGATGTGAGGTTGGTTACATGAAGGCATTTAATGGTGTTGCATGTGAGTAGAACAGAGAAATAAAATGCATCAATTTTGAACTCAAATTTTGTGTCATGCTTACCTATAGGCAAATAGTAAACCCCATTACACTGAGCAAATGCACTAAATGCTATTAAAAGAAAATGTTAAAATATATATAAATATAGGAGTTTTCTGAGTTTATACCACAAGTAGTATGGCTTATGTTTTAAAGAAATATAGTGTTTTGTCTATCATTCAGCAGCTAGAAGCTTCAGAATGTCAGCAATGTTTATTCAGAAAAAAATGCTACCACCTTTTTACTATGTGAGAAGAAACAAATACCAATTAATTGAATGATAATTTAATCTTTGTTGCCACATTAATTATGAAAGTACTATAAATCTCATTGATTAATTTAATTTGGAAGAGTTAATTTTAGGATATTATAAATATGAACCCCAGTGTCTCTGAGTAAGTTATCCCAGTTCAACTGGGAAAAGAAATATCAATGCATGATTGCGTGATAGAGCCAAAAGGCCCCTGGATTACCCTAGGAGGGAGGGATGGGTATTTTAACTTAAAGCATTTCAAAGAGAGTATTACTTTTAAAGAACTGGTAGGTTCAGAATTCAGAACAATGGAGATTATTAAAGTTACTTATCAAAAAACAATCCCGTTTTGCATTAGGATTTACCAAATTACATTTTAAGAGCATTTATGGTATATATGGTAGGTGCAATCAGTGAATTTTATCTGAGAAGGGAGGATAAGTTTTGACTTTGATGTTTAAAGAAGACGTTTTTCCTAATGACATGTCCTAGAGCTTATAGCTTTATAAGATTGAACCTCTGAGAATTAGTGTAGGGTTGATCACTCAACTCTAGAAATCTATAGAACTTTCTTCATCTTACCTCTCATAGAATGCTTAAATATCTACTCACTAAAAAACAACAACAAAAAAAATCGAAACACCATGTAAGCGTTAATAATTAAATTCAGCAGTTGCATGCAGTGAATTTCCATTCCAAAAACATTATACCTTGAAGGAAAACATCCGAAGAAGCTTTGGGTTTGTAGACAGAAAAGAGAATTGCATTTTTTTTTAATTAAAAGAAGAAAAAAAGAAAAGAAAAAGACAAAATAAGATAAATTAAAAACACAGTTTAAAAACATATTAAAATGAACTGAAATTATAAACACAGAAGGACAATTCTGGGCTTGGAACAAATTACGTGCCTAAAGTTGGAAAATGGAATTTGGAGATTTCAATAAATTAACCCACAATTCTCTAAATGCAAAAGCCAGTGTTGTCCATTTGTGAGGAAGCTTCTTTCCATTGCCTGACTGCCCTGTATGAAAGTACTTTGATTTTATTTTCTAATTAACGTCAAGGAAGCCTTATTAGGTAAGTCTTAACAATGAACCAATGGGCATATTTAATGGAAAAATGAAATTTCAGCTTCTCATTCATAGCTTAGGCTCTTTCTAGTTGTGATAAATCATCTAATTGGCTTACAAGAGGAAAATCCAAAAAATTTTCAGGTAATTTGATTTTTTCAGTTTCTTTAATCCCCTCGGCAATGATATAGCTATTAGGGCATAAGGGCTTTTTACAAAGGACTCTTGTTTAAAAGCTCACCCTCACATTCTTGTTAATACTGGCACGTAATAATGCTGAGTGTCACAGAACCCTCTTTTTGAGGAAAAATGTGATGGAAAGTGAAGGATGGGGAGAAATAATAATTTTTTAAAAACACAATAAGGAAAATAAAATAAGGATAGAAAAAATGCAAAGATAGAGAGGCAAACAGACAGGGAAGGAAAGGACTGCATAAAGCATAATGAATATTTGGGAAATTAAGGATAAGCATTTCTTTTTGTATTAATCATCAAAATTAATGCTTTTTTTCTTTACCTATTACAGATTCTTACATTCAGATAAATATATGCCATTTGTAGAATTTCACCAGGGTTCTTGGAGATCCATCAGGATACAACCTAGAATCATCTGTATTTCCTCGTTAAAATATAGTTCCCGCCAAAATTGGTGGGTCAGAGAGCTAGCCACTATCAAGGACCTCATGGCCTTTATGACAGACCGGGAAGGTCTATAAATTCAGGAAGCTAGGGTGACTTCCTTTGCCCCTCTATTAGAAAGGAATGGATCTTAACTTCCATGGGGCTTCCTAGAAGCCAGACAGCCACTACACTCATGTGTGTAAATGGGTAGCTACTCGTTCTCTTCAACATCCATTTTAAAGGATAATTGCATGAGGCCTGTATATTAGTGCCTTCTCATCTCTACTTGAAGTTTGGTGGCAAGATGAAGTCATCTTACCTTTTCCCAAATCACTGAAATCAATCCAAGTTGGTAACTGTATAAATCATCAACATCAACCATCATCATCACTATTAATGGTAAGGACTTTCATTTGTAAGGTGCCAGGTAATGCTTTTTACCTTTATTACCACAGCAGCCCTTTAAGATATGTATTTTTTATAATACTAGTCTTATATATGAGAACATAAAGACATAAGGAGGTTAAGTAACTTGCCCAAACAATAGATGATCCATTTCATTTAAAAACAAAATAATACATTTTGAGTATGAAACCAGTCTTAGTCCTCTGGCGGTAAAACACACACACACACATACACACACACACACACACACACACACACACATAATTACTTGCAAAAGTGTGGTGATCTTTTGAAACTTCAAGAACATTGTGGCTTCCTAATGGAAAGCCTTGAATGAAAACGTTAATTTAAAACATCAATCATTTAAGAATATTACAGTAAGGGAGCAGAAAGAGGACAATCAATGAAACCTAAAATAACAGCAACTAGAAAATAAATGCATGTCTCAACAGTGTTTGTAACCCGTATGAAATAGAGTAAGAGTCTGCCTTAGTGAATCAGGCCTCTTCCAAGTAAAAAATGACCAAAATTAATTCTTATGGCCTGGCCAAACTCATACACTGTTTTCATTTTGGAGCCCAAAGTGTTGAGCCTTAGCCTGCAGACAGGCTAAGACCAAACAAAAACAAAACCAGGAGCCCTTTTACATAAAAATTTCAGTTGTCCCAATGGGAAATGATACATACAGGGTTTTTCTTCTTTTTGTCTTTATCCTTGCTTGGTTTCCGGTTGCTGACAAAATAATGCAGGGTGCCATATTCCACCAAAGCAGAGAAGACAAAGATGAAGCAAACAGATACAAAGAGATCCATTGCTGTAACATAGGAGACTTTGGGGAGTGACTTCCGGGCAATAGTGCTGAGGGTGGTCATTGTCAGGACAGTGGTGATACCTGAAGAAAGGTACAGTAAAACAGATCGTGTGACCTCATCAGCAAGTTGGGTAACTGAGTCACTACTGAGACCAAAACTTTATTTTGTGACTTCTGATAAGCAACCTCAGTAATGAAGGAGACATAACTGTAATCCATTCACTCTGTCCACAAATATTTATTGCCTGCTTACCAACTATCAGTTACTATGACAAACACTGAGTGTATGTTGAAAACTATCCCTGACCTTACATACCTTATATTTTAGTGATAGAGAACACTATAAATCAAGTGAGCAAAGAAAGGTATAATCACAAATTATGGTTTATGTGATGGAGAACATCAGGGACAGTGAAACCTAATTAGAATACTGAGGGAAGACATCTTTGTGGAGGTGATATTTAAGGAGAAGTTTAAAAGTTAGAAGACACCAACTTCTGACTAATTCCAGAGTATATAAAGGAAGACACTGAGGAAGGGATACATTATCTTCTTTAAAAAAATTGGAATACCTAGCATCTGGGGGTAAACCAGCGTATCAAGGTGATGCTGAGATAACAGAAGTTATATCATACAGAGCATGCAAAAGAGTTTACACTTTAAAGTAAAAGGAGAATCCTTTTAAGGGTATTAAATAGAGGAGATGAGCTAAGTGACATGTTCTGATTAATGAACTTTTTGAAGACTATTACAGAAAGAGAGAAGATGGTGTTGTAGAAGGATCCTGAGCTCACCACCCCCACAGCTATACTGAGGTGTAACAACTACATATATTGCAACTCACTCTGAAAATGACCTGAAGATTGGCAGAACATATCTTCTGTAACAGGTAACGTCATAAAAAGAAAGCCACATCAAGAAGGGTAAGAGGGAAGAGGCATGGTTAGGAACCAAAGTACTGCTGTGACTACCCAGAAGTGGGAGGGATAGGACAAGCATGGAGGCACAAGGGGGTGGGCACCCCTATTCCTGGGTGCCTGCACTGAGATGAGCTTCCATAATGTCTGGCTTTAAAAATCAGCAGGACCTAACTCCAGGAGAGCCAGAAGGTCATAGGAAACCAAGTCTCCACTTTTAATTGAAGAGCCAGCATGCTATATTACTCACTGTGTATGCCAGCACAGAAGAACCAGTTTGGTAAGTGCCTGGGTTATACAAGGAGATTTGTTGACTGATTTTTGAACATGAATCAGAGGGGCAAGAATCTGCAAAAGCTTTCTCTAGGAACAGAAGTGCTGAAGGGCACTCTTTTTCTGACCCTATTTCAGCCTAGATGGCTATATGCTTTCAAAAGCCAGTTCTAAAACTCTCCACTTGCTAGCAGTACTTGCCTCACCTCATCATTCTTCAACAGATCCATCTTACATACTCTGGCCTACCCAGCCCCCTCCAAAGGACTCCTGTCTTGCTATAATTGGCCAGGTTACCTCAGTTGGGAACAGCAACCCCTCAAAGAGACTACTGCCCCCACAATACCTGGCAGGTGGCATTTGCTGGAATCAGTGTCCTTCCAAAGCAAACCCTGCCACAGGGACTGGGGAGCTAACCCCACACATCAGCATGCCCAGAGGTGCTATAACCAGGCCTCTCAGCTAACTGCACTAGGGGCAGACCCTACCCACCACTGTGCCCACAGCAGTCACAGCCACAACAGGAGGGTGCACACAGCCTACATGGGGGACATTGCTAGAGCACCAAGTTCTAGTGACCAGGAGTAGATTGTGCCATAGGGCACCACAGGATGCCTTCAACTTAAGCCCACTACTTTCAAGATCAGGAGATGTAGTTGATCACTTGATAAATAAAAACACAGAGACAAAATGAGGAGACATAAGAGTATGTTCCCACAAACAAACAAGACAAAACCACAGAAAAAGAGCTAACAAAATGGAGATAAGCAAACTATCTGACAAAGAGTTGAAAGTGCTGGTCAGAAAGATACTCACAGAACTTGAGAGGTAAGTGAATGAACTCAGAACAAAGAAACAGAAAATATAGTAAAGAACCAGTCAGAACCAAAATACAAAAACTGAAATTAAAACTACAGTAGAGGCAATCAACAGAAGATTAGAGGATGCAAAATGGATAACTGAACTGGAAGACAGGATAATGGAGAACATGTATGCTGAACAGCAAAAAGAAAAAGAAATTTAAAAAATAAGTTAAGGGATCTCTGAGACCACATCAAGCATACTGACATTCATATTTTCATCTCCAGAAGGAGAAGAGAGAAAGAAGAGGGCAGAAACTTACTTAAAGAAATGAAATGTCCCTAATCTGAGAAAGGAAACCCCCAACAAGTTAAACCCAAGGAGGTCCACACTAAGACACATAATTAAAATGGAAATATTTAAAAATAAATAATCCTAAAAGTAGCAGGAGTGGGACCAACAATTACATAAAAGGGAAAAGCCTCTACAGCTATCAGCTGATTTTTTTTTTCTTTTGTAGCAGAGAGTTTGCAGGCCAGAAGGGATTGGCTGCTGAAAGGAAAAAAAACCTACAAGCAAAAATACTTCACCTGGCAAGGCTATCATTCAGAATTGAAAGAGAAAAACTTTCCCAGACAAACAAAAGTTTCAGGAGTTCATCACCATTAAACTGGCCTTACAAGAAATGTGAAATGTGAAAGGGACTTCTTTAAGTGGAAAATAAAAGGTCATAACTAGAAATGAGAAAATTACGGCAGGAAAAAAATAATGGTAAAAGCAAACATATATTAATGTTAACAAATTAATCACTTATTTAGTTAGTATAAAGGGCAAAATGCGAAAATAGTATAGTTGATTATATCCACAGAAATTAGTCAAGGAATACATAAAATAAAAAAGATTAAAATATGACATCATATACATAAACATGGAAAGGAGAGTAAAAATATAGTGCTTTTAGACTGTGTTTGAACTTAAGCAACCACCAACTTAATCTAGACTGCTATATACTTAGAATGTTCTTGGTAACCGCAAACCAAAAACTTCCAATACATTACCCCCCGCCCCAAAATAAAGTGAGAGTAATTGAAGCATGACACTAAAGAGAGTCCTCAAACTATAAGCAAAGAGAGCAAAAGAATGTAGGAAGAAGAACTATAAAACAACTAGAGAACAATTTTTAAAAATGGCGATAAGTATGTATCTACTGATAATTCATAAATGGAATAAATGCTTCAATTAAAAGACAAAGTGAATAGAATAAAAAAATAAGACACATCTATATGCTATCCTACAAGAGAATACTTGAGACCTAAAGACACATACAGACTGAAAGTAAAGGGATGGAAAAATATATTCCATGCAAATGAAAGTAAGAAAAAAAGCTGTGGTAGCAATACCTTTATCAGACGAAATAGACTTTAAAACAAAGACTGTAACAAGAGACAAAGAAGGGCATTATATAATGATAAAAAGACCACTGCAACAAGAAGACATAACATTTGTAAATATCTCTACACCCAACATAGGAGCACCTAAACATATAAAGCAAATATTAACAAACAAAAAGGGAGAAATTGTCAGTAATACAATAATAGTAGAGGATTTTATCAGCCCATTTACATCAATGAATAGAATATCTAGACAGAAAATCAGTAGAAAAACAGTGGCTTTAAATGACGTATTAGACCAGATGGACTTAAAGATATATACAGAAAATTCCATTTAAAACTAGAAGAATACACATCCTTTTTCAAATGCATATGGAACATTCTCTAGGATAGAGCACATGTTAGGCCACAAAAGAAGTCCCAATAAATTTAACAAGACTGAAATCATCATTTCCAACCACAACAGTATGAAACTAGGAATCAATTACAAGAAAAAAAAAAACTGGAAGAAACAGATATGGAGTCTAAAAGGCATACTACTAAGAACAAATGGGTCAAGGAAAAAATCAAAGAGCAAATAAAAAATACATGGTGGGGTGCCTGGATGGCTCTGTCATTTAAGTGTCTGCCTTCGGCTTACATCATGATCTCAGGGTCCTGGGACTGAGCCATGTATTGGACTCCCCACACAGCGGGGAGTCTGCTTCTCCCTCCTCCCACCTCATTTTCTCTCTCTCTCTTTAATAAATAAAATCTTTTTATAAAATGTGGAGACAAAAGAAAATAGAAATATTATGGTTCAGAATCTTTGGGATACAGGAAGTTTATAACAATATAGGTCCACCTTAAGAAACAAACAAACAAAAATCTCAAACCTAATAATCTTAAATCTAACCTTACACCTCAAGGAACTAGAAAAAGAACAAAGCTTAAGGTTAGTAGAAGGAAGGAATAATAAAGATCAGATTGGAAATCAATGAAATAGACTAAAAAAGAAAAGATTAAACTAAAAGCTTATTCTTTTAAAATAAAATTAATAAATCTTTGGTAAGACTAATCAAGAAAAAAAATTAAGTGAGGGGGGGCGCCTGTGTGACTCAGTTGGTTAAGCGGCTGCCTTTGGCTCAGGTCACGATCCCAGGGACCTGCTTTGGGATCTTGGCTCAACAAAGAGAGAGCCTGCTTCTCCCTCTCCCTCTGCCTTCTGCTCTGCCTACTTGTGGTCTCTCTCTCTCTCTCTCAAATAAATAAATAAAATCTGGAAAAATAAAAAAAAGAACTCAAAATCAGAAATGAAAAAAGTTGTAAGTGACAAGACAAATATAAAAAATAATGATATAAAAATTATATAACAATATAAAAAATTATATGCCAACAAATTGGACAACCTAGAAGAAATGGATAAATTCCCAGAAATAGACATCATCAAAGATTGAATCAGGAAGAAATTAAAAACTGAACAGACCAATTACTAGTAATAAAATTGAAGTGGTATTCAAAAATCTACCAACAAACAAAAGTCCAAGACCAGATGAATTTCATAGATGAATTCTACCAAACACTGAAAGAAGAGTTAATACCTATCTTTCTCAAACTATTCAGAAAATGGAAGAGAAAGGAATGCTTCCAAATTCATTTTATGAGGTCAGCATTACCCTCATACCAAAACCAGAAAAAGATACTACAAAGAGAGGGACACAGAGAATTGTAGACCAATATCTCTGATGAATATAGATGTAAAAATTCTCAACAAAATATTAGCAAACTGAGTTCAACAATACATTAAAAGGATCATTCAACACTATTTAATGAGTTTATTCCAGGGATGCAAGGATGGTTCAATATGTGTAAATCAATCAGTGTAATACATTACATTAACAAAATGAAAGATAAAATTCATATGAACATCTCTATAGATGCAGAAAGGCATTAGACAGAATTCAAAATCCATTCATGATATAAGCTCTCAACAAAGTAGGTATGGAAGGAACGTACCTCAACAAAATAAAGGCCATTTTTTTTTTTTTAAATAAAGGCCATTTTTGAAAAACCCACAGCCAACATCATACTCAGTGGTGAAAAGCTAAAAGTTTTTCCTCTCAGATCAAGAACAAGACAAGGATGTCCACTCTTACCATGTTTGTTCAACATAGTATCAGAGGTCCTAGCTGCAGCAATTACACAAGAAATAAATGACATCCGAACTGGTAAGCAATAGGTAAAAATGCTATTTGCAGATGATTTGATATTAATATATAAAAAAACCTAAGACTCCACCAAAAAACTATTGGAACGAATAAATGAATTCAATGAAATTGTAGGATGCAAAATTAATATACAGAAATTTGTTGTGAAATCTCCAATTTCATCAAAAAGAATAAAATACTTAGCACAAAATTTAACCAAGGAAGTAAAAGACCAATACTCTGAAAACAACAAGAAATGGAAGACAACACAAATAAATTGAAATATATTCCATGAACATTATTTGGAAGAATATTGTTAAAATATCCATATTATCCAAAACAATCTACAAATTCAGTACAGTCTCTATCAAAATACCAATAGCATTTATTGCAATCCTAAAATTTGTATGGATCCATAAAAGACCCTTAATTGCCAAAGCAATCTTAGGACAAACCTGGAGGTATCACAGTCCCAGATTTGAAACTATACCAGAAAGCTATAGTAACCAAAACAGTATGGTACTGGCATTAAAACAGACATATAAATCAATGGATCAGAATAAAAAACCCCAAAATAAATCCATGCTTTTATGGTAAATTAATCTATAAGAAAAGAGGCAAGAATATGCAATGGGAAAAAGACAGTCTCTTCAATAAATGGATGTTGGAAAAACTAGACAACTACATGCGGAAGAATGCAACCGGATCACTTTCTTACATCATATACAAAAATAAACTCAAAATGGATTAGAGACCTAAATTTAAGACCTGAAACTATAAAACACCTAAAAGTAAACATAGCTAGTAAACTCATGGACCTTGACCTTTGCAATATTTTTTCTGAATATGTCTTTCCAGACAAGGAAAACATAAGCAAAAATAAATAATTGGTACTATATCAAACTAAAGAGCTTTTTGTATAGCAAAGGAGATCACTACCAACAACAAAAAAGACAACCTACTTAATAGGATATTTGCCAATGACTTATCTGATGGGGTTACTATCCAAAATAGATAAAGAACTCCTACAACTCAATACCAAAGTAAATAATTCAACTAAAAATAGGCAGAACACCTGAATAGACATTTTTCCAAAGACTCACAAAAATAGCCAAGAGACTCATGAAAAGATGCTAAGCATCACTCATAATTAGGGAAATGCAAATCAAAACAACAGTAAGATATTAACTCACACCTATGAGAATGGCTAGTATCAAAAAGATGAGAAATTACAGTTGTGGCAAGCATGTGGAGATAAGGGAGCTCTGGTACACTGTTGTTAAAAATGTAAATGGTTGTAGGCACTCTGGAAAACAGTATGGAGGTTCTTCAAAAAACAAAAAATACAGGGGAGCCTAGGTGGCTCAGTCCATTAAGCCTCTGCCTTTGGCTCAGGTCATGATCTCGGGGTCCTGGGATTAAGCCCTGCTTCGAGCAATGCATGGGGCTCTCTGCTCAGCAGAGAGCCCGTTTCCTCCTCTCTCTTTCTGCCTGCCTCTCTGCCTACTTGTGATCTCTGTCTGTCAAATAAATAAATAAATAAATCTTAAAAAAAATACAAATACTGGCGGTGCCTGGGTGGCTCAGTAGGTTAAGCCTCTGCCTTCAGCTCAGGTCACCATCTCAGGGTCCTGGGATCGAGCCCCACATCAGGCTCTCTGCTCAGCAAAGGAACCTGTTTCCATTCTCTCTCTGCCTGCTTCTGATCTCTCTCTCTGTCAAATAAATAAATAAAATATTTTTTAAAAAATACAAATACTATATGATCATTTCACTTCTGAGTATTTACCTGAAGAAAATGAGAACACTAATTCAAAAGTGATATGCACCCTTATGGTTACTGAAGTAACATTTCGAATAGCCAAGTTGTGGAAGGAACCCACATGTCCACTGATAGATGAATGGATAAATATGGTGTACAAACACACACACACACACACACACACACACACACACACACACAATATGGACTATTTCTTGGCCATAAGAAAAAAAATAAAAATCTTGCCTTTTTTGACAACATGGATGGCCCTAGAGGGCATTCTGCTAAGTAAAACAGATCAGACAAATGAATCTAAAAAATAAAATGTGCAAATGAGCAAACAATAAAAATAGAAACAGACTCCTGAGAACTAACTGGTGTTTGCTTGAGGGGAGACAGTTAAGTGTAGAGGCAAAATAGGTGAAGGGTATGTATGAAGAGGTACAAACTTCCAGTTACAGAATAAATAAGCCCCAGGAACCATTTGGCTTTTGGGTCGTTGTATCTTAGTTTATTATCAAGTTTCCTCAGTGTTTTTTCTGTTATGAAACTCCCAAGAGAGGAAAGATTGGTGTTGGTTGAAATGACTTTATAGAAAAAAGTAGCCTTTCATTGAGGAGAGGGAGGATCAAGGAAACTGCAGCTGTAAATTATAATCATAGCCTCCTTCCTATATTATTATTAGGGAAGAGCTCATCTCTCTTTCTAATCTGTAAACTGTGACAACAGGAAAGACCTCTATCTTAGTATCCTTTGTGACTTCATAGATAAGTATAGTGCTGGGACTCCACAAATACCCTTTCGAATGCAGAAATGAAGCAATCAATGAATAGTGTATAAATGATAGGTCAAAGAGACTCATCCTGCATCTGAAAATCGGAACCCATATTGGTGACTTCTGAGAGAGAGTTTTAACTGTATGTAACAACAGCTAATATTTATGGATCTCTTTCTTTGACCAGGTACTGCCTCAAGTACTTTGTATGTTATCCCACAAAGTCCTCACAATGAGGGTTATCACTGTTATCCTTTTTTTTGCAGGTGAGACAAACTTGAACAGAGAACGAATAAGGAATCTGTCCAAGATAGAAAGTGAAAAAGATGAGATACAAGCCTACAAAGTCTGACTTAAATGCTACGTTCTGACCCACGCTGTTATATTCCCTCTCTATGAATATGTACCTAATACGCAGCATGAAGCACCAGCCACTTGGAAGCTAGTGTATTTTCCTGATTCAGTATAATACAGACTGTGGGTCTTCCATATTGTCATTGTAGAACCTTAGCAATGGTCAAGTTTCTCATCTACAAACTGGGAGTGGTGTGGGGAGGGACATACCTCAGCATGTTCTTATGAAGATTAAAATATGTAATGTTCATTAAGTATCATTTCCTAGTAAATTATCAATAAATGTAAGATATTTAGAGAAGAACAGTCTGTTTCTTGAACTAAAAAAACTTCATTCAAGTTGTCCATGCAATAATTCATGGAAACGTTATTAACTATTTGTAATTATACTTGATAATATTTTGGGGGGAGAATTTAAAAACTAAACTGGCCCCTTGGCCTTCACTTCACATTCAGGCCTCAAGCCACACTTGACCTATGAAGGAGTGAAAATGTCATCATTTACAGTAGATACCATAGACAAGTTTACTTAAGAAAATCTGACATGTCTAACATGTAACTTAAACATTTATCTAGCAAGTTGGGATGATGGAAGTTCATCACAGCCGTGTAAAAGAAGACTCATGAAAAACTGCTTCCTGGTATTTTCAGGTTTCTGGTTGGAGCCACAGGGAGTGAAAAGTGGGTGGCAGACGAGTGATAGTTATAACTGATCCACCCACCAACAACATGATAGCTGGGGGTGGTTTTTAAGTCCAGTTTTGCTAAGGAAAGAATTAGACTTACCTGGGGTAGATGAAAAATATGCATAGCTTTTATCAATTCCTCCAGTCTTAGCATCAAATAAGCTTTCAGGCATGCTAGCTTTTACTCAGACTACTCAGGTGAAAAATACCAATTGGTGTTTTTATTGTTTCATCCATCAACATTGAACCATGATTAAGGCTTACCAGCTACCACCTGTGTGCCAAACTACATTCAAGCGTTAGAAGCCCCATGATGACTGCTTCCCATGCTCTTGTGGTCTGAGCTCAGAAAGCAGAGTCTGAACCATATAGGTATATTTATCTCACTCATCTAACAACTTGGCTTTATTCTGTGACAAGAAACTTTAGGTCCACAGGTGTTTAGGGTCATCTGGTTTAACTCTCGATTGTAAACACTGGAAAAGGTAATGTGATCACACATTAGAATCATCTGGGGACTTTTTTTTTTTTTTTAAACCCGACATGCAAGCCAAGCTCTCAAAATTTAAATAAACATCTTCTGGGATGGGACTGAGGCAGCTATATAAATGTGCAGTTGAATTTAAGACGCACTGATCTAGAGAAGGGAGACAGCAAAGTTAACACACTCAGCGCCTACCTTTCCCCACAACTGGCCTTCAACAAGGCCTCACACACGCAGCAAATCTAGGCCCCATTAACCAAGGTGTAGATGGACTACCTGTTGGGTGTGTGACCTTGTGAATGCCATTTAACCTTGTAGCACCTCTGCTTCCTTAGCCCTACAAGAAGAATGTGGTAATATTTTTTATTATCACTACAACTTCTATATGTAGTTGTGAAGAGTAGAAAAGGCATGGGGACTATATTAAACATGTGTGATGTATAGTAAAAGATCAACAAACAGGAGCACTTACCTGTTACTTGTTCAGGGGCCTCTCCCTCATTCCTCATTCTCTAGCTCACTCACCTTGATCCTCTCTCCTACAGCGGTCTCTTGCAGTGCCCTCACTGGTTGAAATGAATTACCAAAGTAGCCTTAAGAGGGGTTTTGACCAGCAGAATTCTGGACTTCAAGAGAAGACTGACTTGAAATCTTTTCCTTGAAATATTTTTGGTATGGGTAGATTGGAATGTGTTAATGCATTTGTTCCACCCATTCGTAAGAGCATACATTACTTGAATAATCAATGAGGTACCAGCTATGTGCCAGGCACTATACTGGGAATGAAAACAAAATCTACATCATGATGTGAGAGACAGACATATAAGCTTATAATGCAATACATTCTACTCACAGTGACAACTGTCCTAAAGTAATAGGCTCGACATACTTTGGGTTTGTTTCAGCTGGTAGCATTAAACTAGATATTTTAATTATTGAATAGGACTTGTAACAATGTACCGCAAATAACAGAAAAATCCAAACAAAATTATTTTGAAACAGATGGGAGACTAAATTAGGTTTGGAAGAGGACAAACATGCAAATGATGCCTTATTCCCAGCAATCTCTTTGCCCTCAATTTTAATAACCTGGTTCAAAGCATTTTGTCAGAAAATGATATATAGTTGACCCTTGAACTACATGGGTTTGAATTACATGGGTCCACTTATATGCAAATTTTTCAATAAGTAAAGCACAGTACAATAAATGTATTTTCTTTTCCTTATGAGTTTTTTAATAACATTTGCTTTTCTCTACCTTACTTTGTTGTAAGAATACAGTACATAATGCATGTGACATACAATATATATGTTACTAGTAAGGCTTCTGGTCAACAGTGGCTATTAGTTTGGGGGAGTTCAAAGTTTTATGTGGATTTTTGACTGCTCAGGTGGAGTTAGAGCCCCTAAGCCCCACATATGTCAAGGGTCAACTGCAGTTGCTAACATTTCTAATGCTTTACTATGTTTCGTGCATGTTGCATGGAATACCTTTTTTCTTAAGTATTTTCCATACTTAACTCATAAAGCATTTTACAGAAAATGCTATATTTCACATTTGAGGAAAATTTGATTTACATAAATTAAAGAGCATTTCCAAGGCCATACTATACATGGAGGATGAAATCTAGATTTATTGGATTTCAAAACCTGAGCTCTTCACTACTGCAATTATACTTACTCACTAGCCAAAGAGCGAGCAAGAGATGTGGTTCTAGTTTTCACATAGCTGATAAAAGAGGACTGTGATTATATAATTCATCTTTCAACAGCTTTGTTTTTAAATATTTAACATTCATGGACCTAGATTCCCATGTCCCTCTGAGTCTATAACTTTTTAATACTTTCTGGGGATATTCTTCCTCACATGAGGAAAAAGTTGTGAAAATCTAAGATAAGTGTCTCTATATACATCAAGAAAGATGCAAATAATCTTAAAAGTATATATGTTTGTGGTGGAGAGGGCTGGTGTTTTCAGAGCATCACGGGTATTTTTCCAAAAAATATTTTCAATGGTTAGAGCCAATTGCTGTGTATGTACGTCTTCAAATGTCATTATGAATAATTACGGATGTTGGAATTAATCAACAGCTAGTCATGTGCTGGTAAATGTGTAACAGTTGACTCTAGGGAAAGAAAAGGCAGTCTTGGTTTCTAGTGTTTGCCTATTTCCATGATGTTAATAGTTTCACCTTGGCAGACTTCAATCTATCAATGTGACATCTCTCAATACATTTGGAAAGTATAAACAACAAGAGCTCTCATGAGCTTGTGTGAGCTGCTCTGCATATAACGACCCAGAGACCAAAACACAAAATCTACTGAAATTAGAAGTTTGTTTTTTTTTCCTTCTTAGTCAAACTTAAATTTATTAAGAGAATTTACGAAAGAAAGCAAATTGAGGTAATTAAGGAAAACTAGAACTGGAAAACTTTTAAACACTTTTTTTAATATGCTAGTTTTCTTTAAAATGAAATAATGACATTTCTACATAATTGCTGACTGAATTAAAAACAAATCGACTTAGAAAGGGGAATGAAGATTCCTGATACTGGATACTTATCTTGGAATACTTAAACAAAAAGAAATGTGTCTTACCTAAAGAAGTTCTGGCTGGAACAGCATCCTTATTGATCCAGAAAGATACCCAGGATAGGACAACAATGAGCGTGCAGGGGATGTAGGTCTGGATGGTGAAGTATCCCATCCTTCTGCTCAGGTCAAAGTAGACAGACATGACCACATAATCTCCTGGAACAGAACAAAGATAGAACCATACGTACACTTATCAAACCTGGAAAGCATTTAGAATAGGGAGCCCAGATATAAACGCATGTTTGTATGGTCAATCAATGACAAAGGAGGCAAGAATATACAATGAGGAAGAGACAGTCTCCAACAAATGGTGTTGGAAAAGTTCGACAGCCATATGCAAAAGAATGAAACTGGATGACTAAACTATATACAAAAATAAATTCAAAATCTATTAAAGACTTGAACGGAAGACCTGAAACCAGGAAACTCCTAGAAGAAAATATAGGCAGTAAGCTCTTCAACATCAGTCTTAGTAATAAATTTTTGGACCTGTGGCAGGCAAGGGGAACAAAAGCTAAAATAAACAAATGGCATTTATATCAAACAGAAAAGCTTTTGCATAGTGACGGAAACCATTAACAAAATGAAAAGGCAACCTACTGAAATAGGAGAAGATATTTGCAAATGATGTCTTTGATAAAGGGTTAATATCCAAAATATATATAAAGAACTTGTATAACTTAATATTTTAAAATCCATTAAAAATGAACAGAGGGGGGCCGCCGGGATGGCTTGGTAGGTTAAGCATCTGTGTTCAGCTCAAGTCACAATCCCAGGGTCCTGGGATCTAGACCTCCAGTGGGCTCACTTCTCAGTGGGCAGTCTGCTTCTCTCTCTGCCTGCCTCTCCCCCTGCTTGTGTTGTCTCTCTCTCTCTCTCTCTCTCTCTGAATAAATAAATAAAATCTTAAAAAAAAATGAACAGAGAAACTGAAAAGACATTTTCCAAAGAAGACATACATATGGCCAACAGGCACAAGAAAAGATGGTCAACATCATTAATCATCAGGGAAATGCAAATTAAAACCACAGTAATATATCACCTTATACCTGTCACATTTTCTGTTATCAAAAACACAAAAAAATAACAAGTGTTGACAAGGATATGGAAAAAAGATAATCATCCACAAGCTCTGTTGCTGAGAAAGTAAACTGGCATAACCACTATGGGAAACACTATGGAGATTCCTCAAAAAAATTATTAGTAGAAATACCATACAATCCAGCAATTCTACTTGAAGATGTTTACCTGAAGAAAACAAAAAGACCAGTTTGAAGAGATATATGCATCCCTGTGTTCATTACAGGATTACTTACAATAGCTAAGATATGGAAGCAACCTAGGTGTCCACCCATAGATAAAGATGTAATATACATAAAATGAAATATTACTCTGGGGCATCTGGGTTGCTCAGTGGGGTAAAGCCTCTGCCTTCAGCTCAGGTCATGATCCTGGGATCCTGGGATCAAGCCCTGCATCAGGCTCTCTGCTCAGCAGGGAGCCTGCGTCCCACTCTCTCTCTCTCTGCCTGCCTCTCTGCCTACTTGTGATCTCTGTCTGTCAAATAAATAAAGTCTTTAAAAAAAAGAAATATTACTCTGCTATAAAACAAAGAATGAAATCTTGCCACTTGTGACAGCATGGGTGAACACAGAGGGTATAATGCTAAGTAAAACAGAGAAAGACAAATACTGTCTTCACTTACATGTGCAAACTAAAAAACAAAATGGAAACAGACTCATAGATACAGGAAACAAACTACTGATTACCAGAGGGGGAAAGGGCTGGGGGTAGGTGAAATAGGTAAAGGTGATTAAGAGGTACAAACTTCTAGTTATAAATAAGCCATAGGGATGTAGTCAATAGTATCATAATAATTTTGTATGGTAACAGATGGTAACTAGACATTGTGGGGATTGTTTTATAATGTATAAAAATATCAAATTACCAGACATATACCTAAAACCAATAGGTTTATGCTTCAATATGTCAATTATACTTCAATAAAAAACTGCAAAGCACTTGAAAATAAGCATATATTCAGTTCTCATGTTCACACATTTAAATTGAGAGTTCATATAAGCAATATGTTGAAAGCTATTTTCTACCCCTTTGGGTTTAAAAAAAAAAAAAACAAAAACAAAACCCAAACCAAACTGAATTCTGATCCTTTTATAAGTAATGTGACTATCAGATGGGAAGAAACATTTTGAGTATATTGATAATATTTTCTTCTTTCAAATGTTCTGGAGCGTGCCTTCTTTGCCTGCTTAATATACACAGTATAAAACTTTTTGTCTGGTGGGAATAGAGGGAGACAGTGTTTCTACACTGTGCCTCTCTTACCTGCAATGACCCTAAAGTTTGTAACAATTTCCTCCTGTTCTCAGGACCTTTCTCCATACAAGCCACAGAGGAATATACTGGTGCCTAACACTAGTAAATGCCTCTTTTACTCCATTTATAACAAATTCCTATGCGGAGACATTTTTCTAATGTTTTCATTGAATCATACGGTTTTCCTTCATGGCACTTAACTACGATTCTTAATTTCTTATTTGTGTGGCTATTTTCATAAACTCTCTCCCATTAGGATTTATCTACATGAGTTCTCCAACAGTGCCTATTTTAGCATCCCATTCCACAACGAGTACTTAACATCCTCTTTGACTCCCAATAGGTATTCAGTAATATTTGTTAAAAAAATGATCAGAAGAAAGAATGCATTTATAAATTTAAACATGGGGGAAAAACACAAAAAAATCAAGAAGATGTGTTCTAGAACACTGGGTTAAAAAAGGAGTTTATGTAAATAATCCCTGATAGGAAAGTGATAAAGGAATCAAAGAATAACCATATTGCTATGCATGAGAACAATTTAATGTGACAGTAAGTACCTATTATTGAGCAACAACCCCTGAAAATTTAAAGGTGAGAATTGCTTGCTGGGATTAAGTAGATTTTGATTGGTTCTCTGATATTATGCTTCTCTGTGTTGATTTAGTTGGACTTAAGCTACTTAAAATCATGGCAGTTCATAAATTAGTTTGGTCTCTGCTTTTCTTCTAGTTTAGAATAGGCACAGGCTATAATTATAGAATAAAGACATTTGATTTGAGATTATCCCTATTAATGTCTGTCTGTTTCTTTCCTGTTTCTTTGAACAGAATACTACAGACAAATTCAAGGTCTCAAATTCTAGATAGGGAAAAATGAGAGGTTTCTTTTTAAATAATAATATTCAGTGCACTTTTTCTCCCTATTTTCAGAGTCCTTGAGAGTTTTCTGCATATTTTTAACATGTGTTTGAGACTTTACAAGTTATAATATTTTCTATCTAGATAATTTTAGTAACTTCTTTTTACTTCTTATCACATAAGTGAATGAGAATCTACACTTTGGCATTAATGATCTCTTTTAAAGGTGAACTTGAATTTTCTCTCAAGTTAACAAGATAATTATCTCAATTCAATATTCCACTTCCCTTCAGGTCAGATTCTAAACTTCCATAGCCTATTTACCCATCAATTTCTATTTTAAGGTAATAGCTTCCAAGCATCTTTCATCTTTGCCAGCAAATCCAAAGCTTTTCTACCACTAGATTATGAATTCAAACTTGGGAAGGCCATTTAAAAGCAAAGCAGCTTCACTGTGACAGCCTGATGCCTGTCTTATCTCTAAGGCCACATCCTTTTTTGTATTTTTAAAAACTCTGGGCCAACAAACCTATAAAATCAAATCCCCTGAAAGTACCACATCAGTGATCTGTAAGCCCAAAAGGTTTAAATGCCAACCAAGTCAAAAGTGGTTATTCCAGTCACTTCAACTATATTCCTTCTATTGATTTAGTCTAACATATGATATTTAAAGTCATAGCATTTAATAAATTAGTTGGGTCCCTTTTTGTGTTTTAACTTAGAATGTAATAGTCACAGGCTATGATTAAAAAGAGAAGACATATAATTTGAATAACACCCACTAATGTCCATTTTTCTTTATCTTTTATAAGCTTCTCATGTGTGGTTTTAAGAAGAAACAAACTGGGGGCACCTGGATGGCTCAGTGGGTTAAACCTCTGCCTTTGGCTCAGGTCATGATCTCAGGGTCCTGGGATCGAGCCCCGCATCAGGCTCTCTGCTCAGTAGGGAGCCTGCTTCATCCTCTCTCTCTCTCTCTCTGCCTGCCTCTCCACATACATGAAATTGAAATAAATAATATCTTTAAAAAAAAGAAGAAGAAACAAACTGCCAATATTAATGACCAATGAATTCCAATTTTTTTAAACTGTGCTGTGAAACTATTTCCTAAAAATTTCCAATGGTAGAAAAGTCTTCTACTCTGTGAACACCTGACATAATGACAAGAAGAATTTTCTGGTTACCTAGAATGAGAACTACTATATACAGAGACTAGGGCTGAATGGATGTATGCATGTATTACCCCTTATCATCAATACCTGTCAGGTTGGTGAAAAAAAAAAAAAAAAAAGAAGAAGATAGATTTCACTTTGTTCCTCACTCATGATTCTTATTCTACTTAACTATAAACTAGAGTATGTATTATTCTACTAGGTTGACTTGAAGGCAAAATATTGTTTATGCTCTCCTCTTGCTCATAATAGTGTTAGTGTTGTGCCCTTCTTTACATTTGTCTAGTTTCTTTGTTTAAGTCAACAAATATTCTGAATCACTGCTCTGCGTACAGCCCTCTCGTTTAGGGAGTATGGATATTAAGACCTATGGAATCTCACAATTGATTCTAGATTAAATAGATTAAGAGGGAACAAGATAATTTTCTGACTACCATTCAGACAGAGACATATGTTGAGACAATCCATTAGATCTAACTCTGTTAACACTTATTAGAAATACTTGAATCTGTGGTATACTTCTATGAGGTTGCTTTGGACCACAGGAAAGTAGAAGAGTTGACTGGCTACATCTTCATTTGGGGAAACATAAAAAGCATAAAGGAAAATTATTTACACATTTAGCATGGAAAACTTAGAACTCCTTGGTAGAGCATGCAACTCTTGATCTTGGGGTTGTGAATTCGAGCCCCATATTGGGAAAAGAGTTTACTAAATAAATAAATAAATAAATAAATAAATAAATAAACAAACAAACATACAGCTTTTTAAAATGTTGAAAGAAAGA